CACACACACACACACAAACAAACAAAGACAAACATGTTTTTTAGTCTCAAGGATATTTGACATATCCTATCATTTGCAAAGTTACACTTCCTGCTAATAAGTACAGAAATCCATCTGTCTTGTCTAATCGCATCCAGTTCTGAGATCATTACACTGGCTCCCTGTCTGTCAAAGTATTCACTTCAAAATCCTGCTGTTGGTTAATAAAGCCCTGAATGGTTTAGGGCCAAAATATATTTCTGATCTACTGCAATGTTATGAACCGTCCAGACCCCTCAGGTCGTCTGGAACAGGTCTGCTTTCTGTCCCCAGAGTCAAAACTAAACATGGAGAAGCAGCAGTCAGTCTCTATGCTCCGCATTTGTGGAGCAAGCTTTGAGAGGACTTCAGGTCTACTGCAAATCTTAGTTCCTTGATGAGTGGTTCCCCCATTCACTTTAAATAGCACTCACTCAGGTCATTGATGACTGCTGATGACGGGGTGCGATCACAGGGACACGACAGTGCGTTGATGTTGCTTTGTGAGTTTGTAAAGTTATCTCATTACACCAGGCACATTTTCAACGGATGTTAACATTATACAATAGCTTCAATTTAAACATTAAAGTCACATCACAGCAGGTGCAGTTTAAAATTTGGGTTGGCGTGTCACACTTTCAAAACACTTCACAGTCCCACTGCATTTCCCAGGGTCCTCAGCAGCACATCCACCAAGTTTGAGGTTGATTGGATGAGCGGATATTGAGAAAATCGGAGTGCAGACAGACAGAAATACAAAAGATGTCTGGGTAGGAAATCTCTGTTTTTTTAAACTCAGCAGAACAACCATTCGGTTTCGTGCAGTGTAGAAATATCGTGTTGTGTGAGAGCGTCGGATGATTCAGCAAAACCTTTGTGGTGATGTTATGCTGCTGGCTTCATGAATCTAACATGATGCAGCTGAGAGCAGAGCTGCAGGGTCATCTCCTTCCTGTGAAGGAAAGAATGTGTGGGAACAAACAGAGAGGATGACACAGAGCCGAGCTGAGAGTGACAGGAGCGACTGAAAGACATCAGTCTCCTGTCCATCAGGAACCGCTTTCATGGTCAAAGTGTTGGGGAGCACATCACTTGCATCCCTAGTTTAGAATCGGTCAACAGTCATTTCTTTCTGATTTTATTCGATTATATTCTTTTAGAGCTGAAATTAAAAGTCAAATAATCAGTTCTGATTATCCAATCAAATACATTTTATAGATTTAATTCTCTATCCATGCTCGGAAATTAGATGCGGGTTGCACTTTCCCCTACTTTCTGATCATTTATAGGCAAACAATTGATTTAGGCAGGTACATCTGTATATGTTCAGCTCTGTTAAAATAATATCTGATGACATTGTTGGTTCTCAACAAGCTCATGTGCTTGTACGTCAGTTTTTACATAGTTCTCTACACAGCGCCTGCTCAGTGTTAAAGTCTTTTCAGAGTTTGTTCAGTTTTTCATGGATGCTCAAACATTTCATTCATTCTAAACATATTTGCTGAGAATGTATTTTTTTATTCCAATGCACAGGTCTGTACATACAGCGTCCTGTTGCTGCTTTTAGTCCTCAGGAATGTTCCCGCTCTCTTTCTTTAAGCCCCCTCCTCTCCTCCTCCTCCTCTTCTTCAGTTCTCCCCCTCCCTCCACTTCCCTCTCTCATCCTTTAAATTCAATCCAGACTCAAGTCTTAAATCTGGATTCTCTGTGCTTAACCAAACATATGGAATGCTACTGTAGTGGAATGCTCCAAGTCTGGGCTGTTGTGTGTGTGTGTAACTGTGTGCGTGTGTGAGTGTGTGTAGAGCAGATGAGAGCTCCTCGGATGATGATGATTATGATAATGGTGCGTGTGTGTTTGTGTGTGTACCAGTGCCTCCCCTGAGAACTGAATGGGGCCTTCTGTTGTCGTGGCCAAACACACTGCTTGTCTGCTCATGCATGAGTCTGCTGCAAAGCCTTCATAACTGAGCAGTTAGCTCATCCTTAGCCCGTTAGCATAACTGCGAACGATCTCCCCTACAGTGACTGCATTGTCAGCCCGGCCGCAGGCTCCGGGCCTCGCCAACTGCCAAACATAATAATGGAGAGAGATGGCATTAGTGTGTGTGTCCTGATATTATGATGACCAGTGAGTCCACTTTTATTAACCTCATGCCCTGCTTGTGTGTTTTTAACCACAGGATGGAGACTTCCCAGAGTGGAGCTTAATGTACCGCAGACTTACGGCTACATCTGAAATGTAAGTTACTCCTTCATGTTTTTTGGATAATGTTGATTTATTTGCACTACAATCTGTTCGTGATCATAACCAGTGTCACTGAAAGTCTACAATGTCATCAAATTGAATTAAAATGAAGAAATTAGGGATGAAGTGTTCGACAGGTTGATTGCTTGGTCCATATGCTCTCGTCCGACCAAATTCTCACTTAAAAGAAGTAAATATCTACATGGATTGGTCATCACATGCGCCAACTGTGACATCAACACGACGCCCTTTCCATTTCGAACTTCGTACTTTCGTACTTACAGTCGAGGCAAGGTGATTCAGTGCAGTCTTCTAAGTGTTGCCCCTGAAAAACTACAACAAAAAGGGCAACAAAAAAAGACAGTGGTCAGACAGAGTTGATCCACAGCATTGATATTGTTCCTCCAGCCCTTCTTCCTCCACCTCTCTTCTCCACCTCATCCTCCTCCTTTACCCACCTTTCCCTCCCTTACTCTCCCCCTCCTCTTTCTCCTCCTAGCCTCTTCCGCCCCTCCTCTGCTCTTTGTGAGTCTGTTTCCTGTTGGGCACAAACGCCGGCGCCGCACTTCCTTCCCTGTAGCCTGTAGTCACACAGGAGTGGCACACAAACATATATATATATATATATATATACTGTATTGTGTATACTCTGCAGCATATGGGTCAATGCATATAAACATTACGTTCAATGTGTGGGTGTGTCTGTGTGTGTGCTGAAGCTTCATATTAAGCAGGCATCAGACAGAGTGGCCTGTAAATCCTATTGCTGGACCACTTCTTGTTGTCGTTCAGCCATGTTGGAAAAACAACAACAACAAATCAATATTACTCACTTCCTGACCACTAGAGGTCATTTCAAGAAATAAAACATTATCCGTTATCAATACTGCTTATTCTTTAAGGGTCGCAGGGGGGCTGGAGCCAATCCCAGCTGCCACTGGGTGAGAGGCAGGGTTCACCCTGTACAGGTCACCAGTGTATCACAGGGCAAACACACAAGCTGCTTTCAGAAATGCACTGAAGTCCAGGCATTATCCTGACGGCCTGTTTGTTATAACACAAACGTACGAGTCAGTTGTTCTCAACACAGTTTTTCTTGCCTGCTCCCTAATAAGATAATAATAATGATTTTTCCCATGTGAGAATACAACAGGATATTGTCCACAGAATTCTCAGCTTGTGAGTCAGCGTGTTGAACGGATGCAAAACTGAAAAAATAATCTTTGGCATTGCTCATGTGAAAGGCAAACTCCAGAGAAAGTAGTTTTTATATGCTTGATGTGAAATGTAAAAAGCAGCTCAGCTTAACAGTTTCTTTCCTTAACATTCACATTGTTTACTGAACAACATAATCTGCTCTAACCATGTGACTCAGGATGCTTGCATCTCTCCAATATACAACGTCATCATTTTACCTCCTGCTCTCAACGCCTCCTCTTCCCTCCCTCCATCCTGCAGCCAGTGCTGCATTCCTGCTGCAGTAATCCACTGTGGCAACTACCTGCTCTGCATTCTGTGGAGTCACTCCCCTCATCTCTCCCCTCGCTCTCTGTCTCTCCCCCCTCCGTGTCTGTTTCTCTCCATCTTCTTTTGCTTACCTCACATTATTACGCACTTTTTGATTTACACATTTTGCTTCGTCTGAGCTTTTCTGCTGCTGCAGCCCCTCTCTCTCTCTTTCTCTCTCTCTCTCCTCCTCTTTCTTTTTCATCAGAGAGCCTCTGAGGTCTCCATTCAGCCGCAGCAGGCTGTTAATGCCAAGGCTCAGGCTGATGAAGCCCTGCCAGCCAAACTGTGTGTGTGTGTTTGGGGGTGTGTGTGTGGGGGTGTGTGTGTGGGTGTTTGTGTTAGTGAATGAGCCAGGCAGAAGGTTGAAGGGCTGCATGTTAAGAGCCATTGATGTTTCTATGAATTGACAGTATTTGAAGGCAGTTGTTGGTGGAGTGTTGGGTTGTCACCTCCTCTCTTGGGTGCTTGGGATATAAAGACGTTGGGGGATGAATAGTGACGTGATGCTGATGTTGTGACCTTTGATGGAGGAAATGACTAAACACATAATCACCGACCTTACACTTCAGTTTCACACAAGCAATTATCATTGACGGCATGATTTCCAAATATCTTCTTGTGAAAATAGGAGACATGTGCCTGTGTTCCGCCATAGCTCTTTTAGATTCCTTATCCCAGTCTATGTGGGGTGAATATGTGAATAACGGACATGAGGTCGAGTTTTCATCATAAATCTCAGCTTTGTTGATGCTTCTGTGTGCTCTGGCTAATGTAACTAGAAATCTCTGCTTAAACATGACATCTTTTAAGTCAGAAAATGTTGAAAACACAATGTTTTTTGTGTTTTTTATACCTTGAAACTGATCACACTAAAACTTTATAATTTGTTCTCTGGCCTAACTGGTCACCAGATATCATAGATGTATGTTTTCCATGATATCTGGTTTCTGAGATCACTAACTCAAACTAACAAAGTGGCAAACTACAAGGGCATTGGAGAAATCACACCTACACCAAGGCCAACGCCCGATCTCGCCCGTGTTAAAAAATTCTGGATCCACCCGTTTATCCAGATACGCTCTGGAATTCAATCGGTTCTTCTTGGGGGTCATGCCCCACGCCTCCGCAAATATTGACAGAAATTGGCGTATTAGTTTTTGCGTTATCATGCTGACTAACAAAACAAAAAACAAAGAAAGCGTAACCTCTTTGGTGATGGTAAATAGAACAGAATGGAAAACATGACCTCATTGGGATCAGGTAATTAATGAGTAAATGGAAAAATGATCCATCTGTCACTCTGTGTTTATCAGTATTCAGATCTCTCTGTCTCTCTTGTCTCATTCTCTCTCACAGTCTGACTCACACTTACTCACACAGACACTCAGACTGTCAGTCATTCAGTGTTACTTTAATGAATGTCATCATGTTGTGATGTTTTCATGTTCTCTTATCAGCGTTAAACGCTTACACACACACACACCTACACATTCACACATATATGGACACACATGTACACACAGTCCCTCTGGAGCACTTCGTCATTGCACTACTCCACATATCCGTGTGCTCTCATTGAGTCATAGCAGGTTTTAAGCTGACGTCTGCTGACACCTGAGAGTGTCAGAATAGCTGTGCAGCATAGCTTTAAATAGGTACACGCTGCTGGTCCTGACACAAACGCAAAGAGTTTCCCCTCAGTCTGATTTAGTCTTAATTGTTGGAGTTTGTGAGTTTGATCTGATTTGTTTCTGTTTGTATTTTCTGGATTCAGTGTTCAACACATGGACTTCTTCATGGTGATCCCGTTTTGTTTCATGAATTATTATTCCACCATAAATGACCATATGTGACCATATCATGTATCATTAGATCATTTATACTCGCGGGTTAATATAAAAGCAGAACTTTGGTTACTTGGTTAATGTTGAGCTCATTTGCTTGATGAATAGTTTATTTTGCAATAATCTAAAAACAGTAAGAAATTCGTCACAAGTTCTCGAAACGATCAAAGTCATACTGATTCAGTCCCACACACACACACACACACACACACACACACACACACACACACTCACTCAATAGGGAAGTTCATGTGTGTGTTTCTTTATGAGGTCAGATCAGGGTCAGTGTGAGTCTGTTTGTAAGTCAGAGGGACATGTAGACATGAGCAAGGATACGTGTGTGCGTCTGTACATGTCTGCGCACCAGCAGGTTCTGAGTCAGTAGGAAGTCGGAGAGGAAAACGCCACTTGTCTTTTTTAGGGTCGTCTCACACAGTCACACGTTCTAATCACGACTCATGTTAATGTCATGTCAGCGTGGTGGGACAGTTTCGTCTCCTGCTGGAGTCGTCCTGTCTCACTTCACAGCTGGGACGTCCTGTGGTTTCACTCAGACGGCAAATGACAAACAGACACACACGTAACCCCATTCACAAACCCAGAGTCTGTCAACCCTTAACATGTGAAATTCTTAAACTCATAATTCAGTGTCATGAAGGATTTTTATTATTTTTAGTTTGTTTTATATCTGTGTACAATATGTCAAAGCATTTTTATTAATTGCCTCTGCTTTTACGTAGATTTTATTTACATATGACGTGTATTCATTACTCACTGAGCATGTTGTTGTTATATTTTTCTCCCTATGTAACTAACATATTATTTTGCTAATAAAATGATGATCATTTTATTTTCTAGTATCCATGTCATTTAAAAACCCAGAATATAATTTGAGTTCTGTTGCAGTTAAGCTTAGCTCCGTTTGCTTTAGCTCAAGTATGAACCCACACAATCTGCTCTCCTGATCAGGGCCTCCGTCCTGTTCGCCCCTGTGTCTCTGGTGGAGTGTTTCACATGTTTAGAGTGTCAGTGACCTCTGACCCCCCGGACACAGAGGGCAGCAGTGTGAGGACATGCCGGAGAAGAGTTGGGAAATATTTAATGGAAAGTTGACGGCAAGTCACACGGGACATAAATTTGAGGATTGGCCAAACTTACCTTAGTGTTTGTAGATGTATTAGTTAGAGCATGACTTTTATTGGCTAATATTAGGTAGTGAGAAATTTCTAATACCAAATCTGAAAAATCGCAGTGATTCCTAAAATGTCTTTATTAAACACTTATGACAAAGAAATATAATTGAGGCTTGATATTTTTATGATACAAGATCGTTTTCTTTGACAAACATTCTTTAAATAACAGTCAAAAGTCAGTTTTCTGTGGAGGAGAAACAGAGTAATGCACATGCTGCTCACTTTCTTCCAAACATTCAGTATCTTTGACATTCACTGTATAAACACTGCGGTTTCCTTTATGAACTGACATATATGCTGATATGACACAGGATATCTGCAGTAGGACTAAATTAGTCAATTCATCATCCTGTCCAATTTTTCAGTCTAGCCTTACCTGACCTGATTAAATTCTCTGTAATTTAGATGATTACTGGTGTAAGTTACTAGACGTGGATGAGACCCTGGA